TGGGGGGGGGGGGGGGAGCGGAATTATAAGACTTCTTGGAAAATAACCGAGATATATAAAAAAATGGATGCTGCTTGAACAGCTATCTGATTGCAATCACTCGAAGATGTTCGCATGACTAGGACAGCATTATTCGCATCAATTGCACATCCCTTGAAAGAAATCACATGTCAAATCTTCTGTTCAGGGATATATTTTTAAAACAGCACGATGACTACACTTCTGATGCTATTAAAATCATAAGAACATCACATAAAGGTGACTCAATCAACTTTCATTTGTCTCTCGTTACTTATTGTGATAACTCAAACTGTTCAAAATGTATTGCTGTTTGAAATCAGCTCATCACATTCCGCAACAGGGATTACGACAAATTAAAAGCACCAATCACGCAATTATATATAGCTAAAAATTAAATAAAAATGTAATTTTTCAATCTTCGTCAGGTAATCAATTGATTTACTGGATTGAATCGTGTTGCATTCCAAACTTTTTTATCGTAAGGAGTCCATAAAGTACCGAAACCTTAACCTACTGTAAACTATCTGTGGGACAGTGACTTCCTTCAACGTACGATAGCATGAACACGGTGCTAGATTACTTATTTATTTATATATAAAAAAAAACTACTTGGTACAGCTTGATAATCTTTGGCATACTGTGCATGAATGATTTGAGACAGATTTTTGTTCGATCTACTAAAACATGCGATGCAATAATAGAGAAATTGACAAGAATGTTTCAGAGGAGGCCAGAATTTGAACGAGTGAAACAATCGGTGATGACCCGTGGATTCTTTTCATTTGTTGTCTGTTGTCACCGTTTCACCTGAGGTATCTGATAAAAGAAGCTCTAAAAAAACTGAGCAAATTTTATAGCGACGAAAGCCATGGATCACAATAACAAAGCCACAGTTTTCGACGCCGATTCCGCGATGTGCATCGCCGCCGTGTGACGCCTTCGAACTGGCGCCCGCAAATATTTCTTTATGTGGCGGTCGTCGTGTTGCCTGCTCGGCAATATCCTGGCCTTATTCGGTTCCGGCGATATGGGCGGAAGACGGTGTCGCAATCGGCCGCCTCCGGGTACTCCCTGACCGCAGGTTCTACCAACGGTCCTCTCCGGCGCCTTGCCTCATCCGCTATGGATATAGGTGGCGATTTCTCAACGAATAACGTGACTGCGAACACGTCGTCCCGAACGAACGCTCCGTTGAATGCCCGTGCCTCTTATTCAAGCGTAAGACATTACGCGCTGGGTTCCTTGCCAATTTGCTCCCATTCAACAGAAATGTTCATGCCGTCGAGTTTTCGAATACAGTGTATAGCTGGAAATACTGTAGATAGGGGTGGACTCTACAGCGAAATTCAAGGGACCAAAAAAAATTGTTGCAGAGAGAATTTAATTCTAGAGAATCCCTAGAACATGGGCAGAGAACCCCATTGAATCGAATAAAAACGTTTCATACAGAGAAAATCAATGTAGCCAAGATCGTAGTAGAGAGAGTTCACCTATATTTTACCAGTGTTCATCGCTTACACCTAATGGGGTTTTTGTTTGCTTCTTTCTTGTTTTTATTGTCGTGAGTTCTGATCTATTTATAATATTTTTAGTATTCATCAAGATTCTACTGTAAATCCTTACGTCAAATCCTGCTGCCCGGCCGGATTGGCTTGGCAATTTGTGCTATGTGAGACACAAACAAGTTGTGCACGAATTTCTCCAAACGCCTATTCCTTTAGACCTAGTTACACATGCGTTTTGAGAAGTTTGAAAAAAGAAACGTAAGTTGAAAAAATAAGTTGCAGACATGAACGAGAATGTCTAAGGTGAATCAATGAACTTCATAACGATTATTCCCTTGTCTTGTGCATCCCGTGAGTTCAACTACACTACTACAGCATTGATATACTGTATTTGGTATTTGATAGTGGTGCACGAACATTTTCGTGCATTGAGAGGTGTAAAGAACGAGGCAGTTTTGAAAAGCCCTGCTTGAGAACTGGAAAAAAAGCCTGAGGGAGAAAGACGCAATATGAAGAATAAAAAACAACTTTTCTGGTATGAAATATAATAAAATAACGTGCACCGCACGCATGAAATTTCATTGAGAGCGCCACGCTTTCTAATATTTTTCTACCTGCAAAGCTTTTGCATCATTCAAGTAGTATATGGAATTAAATAAAATTCGCTCTACTGTAAATTGTTCAGGCGAAAAACACTCGATGCTCGAGTATTCTACTTATTTTAAATTTATGGCACTTCTTCCAAAACTGAAGTTTCTTTCCTTTTATTGTCTGTCGAGGATATTTTCTCAACACCCCTTTTGCATATTCTTCTAACGCCCTTGGAATGAATTCCTCGAAATAATGTGATAGTGTCTTATAGAATCGTGCTGATGTCCAAAATGTGACTTTTAAAATGACCTTTCTTCTAGTGCAGTTACCCCGCTGCTAAAAACATTTATTTTAAAGTATCTTCTTTGATTCTATCCCTGACATTTGTTTGGCACTATTGTAGTACGATCCACCATGTTGCAGATTTAGCATGTGTGGGAGCTGGGAACAGGCGAATCAGACGACTGTCCTCCGCCTCTTACAGGAAACAACCTACGGCTGAAGCCCTCGTAGCTTAAAGTAGATGTCGCTGCTAAGTAAACGTAAAGAGCGATATCCTTTATAGTTCGGGGATTTTGAGTTGACGCAAGCCTGTTTTCGTTCCCCGCCGACGAAATCACAGATGAACTTCGTGCATTTGTATTGAAGCGCCATGTATTTTCATGCCGAAAAACTTCATACAAACCTGTAAATGTCCTCTGGAAGCTCATATCGTGCCGAAAGAGACAACACACTTGTGCGTAGGAAGAAGTTCTTCGCAAGCAAGCACAAATTACTGTCCTCGTAGGTAGACAGACACGTGACACGATATCGCTTTCCTGTCAGAATTTTTCGGAAGGAGTAAAATAGGGGAAATTGTCGCAGAAGAATTCGTGCATGCAGGAACTTCTAAAGCGATTCGGTCTTTTCTGAAGTCGAGTTCATAAGAGCAATGTCACCGACGCTTGTGAATGATGTTGAAATGTTCGACTCTGTCGTCGTTTCTTCCTTTGTCATTGTCGATTGAGCGTCTTTTGAACAGTCAATGCTTTGCGATGTCGTGGAATCCGATTGATTGCTATTCGAAACATTTTGTGTCAACGATTCGTTCTTCAGGGTTGTGTCGAGAATCGACGGAAGCGTGGACATCGACACATCCATGGTAGGAGTCAGAGATGTTGATGATGTTTCCGATGTTTCACTTGAAGTGTGACTGCAATTGATTAATTTGCTTTTGATGACTTCGTTGATTATATCCGCAATTTCCTTGGAGTCCATGGGGGATTCCAATTGTACTTCGTTCACACTGAGAAGAGAGACCCAATTTACTACAATATTAATACCACACACATTCGATGTTGACATACACCGTAATCTTGCACCAAGAAACGGGTAACATTATCATAAACTTTTATAGTTCATTCGTGTTTGTTGTGATCTTAATTTTTTCTATACTGTAGTACTTTGGCACACAAACGCTTCTTCTCGTGATTACCCATTTCACAATCGATACGATGAAACCTTAAAATGCGAATATTATATATCAATTTCAACGTTAAAAACATGTCCAAATCATATGCAGTGCCTGTGCGTGTGTTTTGGGCAAATCGTAAGGTCAATTATGTTCAGTCAAACCCGGAATAGTCAAATGTTTTTTTGACACAAATTGTCAAGAGTTTCTCAAAATTCGTGCTACATGCGAAGAATGTGGTGCACTTTTCTCTGATGCAATCAAATTTTATTAGATCATGGACTTGGTTTCTTATGCTTCGAATAATAAAGAGGTAAGAGGATATTTAATTGTATCCCGTTTTTATACGCCGATGAGGGGCTGATATTCTTCATAAAAACTGATGCAATCAAATTTTATTAGATCATGGACTTGGTTTCTTATGCTTCGAATAATAAAGAGGTAAGAGGATATTTAATTGTATCCCGTTTTTATACGCCGATGAGGGGCTGATATTCTTCATAAAAGCCTTTTTTATTGTACAACACGCATTTTTCAGTTATTAAAACGTTTGTGGTTGATTCGCAAGACTTTTGAAACCCCCTACTAAAGTCAATTTTTCCGTATTACCTCAAGTACGGCTTGCCCTTGAGAAAAACGCGTACCTTAGTATTTGAGACAGCAATTGAGAAAAACCAAACCAGTGTGAACCCGTTTAATAACCCGTGCAATAAGTGTACCCAAGTTTTCAGTGGCACAAAAATGTTGGCTAATGAAATATTATTTACTCGTTTTTGTTGCACGTTTTCATTCACCAGTTTGATTTGGGCCCAAAAATATTTTTACTCAAATTAATCACGAAGAAACTGATTTCTTCCTATACGTCAGTAAATGTGTTTCAAGTTTGGGGCGCAAAAGAATGTATAAAATTTGCCCTAAAAAGTTATGCTCGAGTATAACACGCACCCCGCTTTTAAGCTCAATTTTTTTTAGAAAAAGGAACGAGCGGTACTTCAATGAATGCGATACCGCATTACTAGATCATTGTTCTTAATTATGGCTACCCAAATATCGATTTCAATATTACATGCACGAAAACACAAGCAGCATTGAAAAATGCAAGACCAGAATGAACTGAGCCCACGGACGGAGGGTGGAGAAATTTATCGGGAAGAACTCCGCGAACTCACGGCATATTTTTTGTATTTGCCATTTCCTCCTGATTTTCCTTCATTGTACTGCGAGTGTTCTGTCGAAATTTCGTCGCCTGCTCCGGGAAAAGCTCTTCCAGCCTGGGCAAAGGGAGGCTCAGCCGGGCTGCCGCGCGAGTCGTTCCCAGGTCCCTGAGGCAGTTGAATATAAACAGCAAAATCAATCCGCGAACCAGAATCCAAGTCTCCGCATTTTGATGAAGAATAAAAGCGAAGCATGCGTTTTACTGGAGGCTTTTCATTCCTGATGCTGTTCCTTGAGATTAAATTTATTAATGCTCTCTAACCTCACCGTCTTCCAAGGCTAACCCGGAATTGCCTGCAGTATAGAGAGATATTCGCAGATAATGATAACATGTGGTAAGTTATATTCGCAATAATTGCAACACTTCTGCGTACGCGCCTCACAAAACAATCGACCATGAAGTATTTGTCAGTCATGGTGCACATACAACAGGCTGATGACAAGGTAAAAATGCTTCATCGAACACAATTTCAAGAATAATCAAATACATTTCAGTAGAAAAACCACGCTACGTGATAAATTTATCAAGAATAATGATCTTAAAAAAATTCCCTAAATAATTTTCAGATGAAATTCCATTCGCAGATTCCACCAGATGGCCAATCTGTGTATCAGAAATAATTTTTGAAATAATAATTCAACTTAGTTTTCGGTAGTTTCATAGAATCAAATCTTCGGACCGGATAATCAAAACCCAGGTTTATCTGAGATAGCTTCTACCTTAGTCACATGACTATTCATGCAACTAAATCATAAGAAGATCACAACTGTAAAAAAATATGCGAATAAAATGTTGTCAGAGACTCGAGTTTTTTTCCGTGCTGCTGCAATCGTAGGTTTTTTGAACGAATCAGTAGAAAATCTCAGTAGTGTGTCTCTGGAAATGCTTTGACAGTCTCTTGTAGTTTTCGTCAAATTGGCCTCTGAATATACTAAATGTTCGTCCAATTGTTCGTTTCCGTCTCCAGATGTTTACTATATAGACAAAACGAACGTGGGAAGAACGGTGGCAAGAAATTGGATTTTCCACATCCCTGAGCTGACGATAATTGCAACCCCACGCGCAGCTGGAAATCCCGAAAGTGTATGTAACTCGCTCACCCAGAAGGTGTCGTGATTCTCTCTGTCGCATTCACGTCATCCAAGTCATGGCCTTCTACAGGGAAAAGCGTCACGCATTAATGCGGACGTCGTTTTGCATAGGAGAAAAACAAGGAACAGCTGCAGAGGGAGAAAATCACCACTTGTTCCTGGAAGGAAATAAAATGGGTAATTTTCGTATATAGAGAACCTGCAACAAGTATAGAGTATTTAGGTTAACAAACTGTAAAAAAATATGCGAATAAAATGTTGTCATAGACTCGAGTATTTTCCCGTGCTGCTGCAATCGTGGGTTTTTTGAACGAATCAGTAGAAAATCTCAGTAGTGTGTCTCTGGAAATGCTTTGACAGTCTCTTGTAGTTTTCGTCAAATTGGCCTTTGAATATACTAAATATTTGTCCAATTGTTCGTTTACGTCTCCAAATGTTCACTGTATAGACAAAACGAACGTGGGAAGAACGGAGGCAAGAAATTGAATTTTCCACATCCCTGAGCTGACGATAATTGCAACCCCACGCGCAGCTGGAAATCCCGAAAGTGTATGTAACTCGCTCACCCAGAAGGTGTCGTGATTCTCTCTGTCGCATTCACGTCATCCAAGTCGATTTTCGTCGCGTCCGTCGTCGTCATTATCGGCGTTGTTTCTGGGGCGGCAGATTGCGGATCCATGCTGCGGTTATGTATCTCGGCGGCTTTGGACACGGTCGTGTTTGACAACGGCGAGGAAGTCATCACCACTGGGTCGACCTGATTCAGACTGTCCGTCTCCGTGACGAAGATATCCGTCGTTTGGGGGCCTGATGAAGGTGGGTCAGAGGAGTTGTGAGCCTCTGAGCTCGTTTGCAGGCCTGCTTCCGTCGTCGGAAGTGAGACGGCCTGGGCTGAGCGACGCGGGATGACGAAGAACGGAAGTCTGGAGAAGGAAGCCTCAAAGTCACGCGAGAGTCTGGGAAAGCATTTCTGAAAACGGATTCATGAAAATTTCACCATTGCATTTCAGGATTTACATTTAGGATGCTTTAACTTGATAATACTGCTCCGCATTTTACCGGGATATGGCAGGCTTTTCAATGCATAGAATAACATTAGGACGTATTTTTAGAATAATCTCTTCTGAGTAAGCTAAGAATTTTAGCCGAACTTTCACATAAAAAACTAGAGCTTCTCGTATTTAGAAGTTGAGTAAAAACTTGATCCCTGGATTTCTCTTCCTTTCGACTACCGTACAGACATACATATCTCGTTGCCCAAATCTCTCTCGTGTTCACTCGAAATTTCTATGCTGACTGCTCATTATCTTATTTTTTTCAATTGAATATACTGTAGCTTTTTATGAGTAATTCTAATCAAAGAAAATAAGCTTGGAAATTGGACAAGGATGTACAGTATTTTTTAGTAAAGTGATTTAATGCTACAATAAACTCCCAGGGAACTTGAGAATTTTTTCGTTTTTTGGTGCGCATGGGCCAGACATCTCGCATGAAATGAGTGAAACAAATATCCCTACGAAATGACGTACGAGGTGTTTCTACTTTCAAATACAGTACAGGAATTCTAGATAGAAGGATATTTAAAAATGCTGCACTTGAAATACCCTGCTCTGAAAGAGAACCTGTCCGGCTTCAGATTTCCTTTAAATATACATTTTTAGTGCTGTCATGCATAAAGTAGTTAATTTCCCCGTAAGCCTTAAACGTAGCAAGAGAATCTCTGGAGAATACATGAGAACATTTATCCTTCATATCAATGAGCTTTCAATGTGATAGTGATAATAATAACTCCGGTGAATTTTTTGCACATTTCCAATGTAATGAAAAAGTCCATGCACAATATGGCAGAGAAAAAAGAAAAAATAATGTTATTCATATTAAATTTCCATGAGCTTGTATAATGGACAGCAGGTTCTGAAAAATGGCTGTAATGGAAAATCCATCATATAGAGATTTGCTGTTAACAGAATTTTACGGTAATGCCTGTTTTTCGTCGGATGGCGATTAATCAATTCCCCCAAAATGCATTTTCCCATTGAAGTACTGTGCAGCAATGAAATAAAAAAATTCAAATCCCAAAATTTTGCGGCATGCTTGCATGTGTTGAACGCATTGTTCAGTTTGTTGCCCGGAAAAATTCTTAGCAAAAGGGAATGGGGGATCAATAGGCTGGTATTTGGTATAGACCCCCTTTACGTGGGGAAAAATACACCCATGGTTAAACTTCAAGAAGGAGAATGGATTAAGCTAGAAAGAAGGTTCAAGCCTAGGGAGCGAACCAACGTACAAGCTAGTCTTCGGGACTGGGGAAACACATGTCTAGAAACAAAGAATAAGATAAAGCTCAAAATCCCCATGTTCTTGGTGACACAGCGATAATTGAACGAGAAACTTTTCCTTGATCTTCTGCGACATGCACATCTGAGTCCTGGAATTGGAAAGAACATCTCCTCCGCGCACTTTTCGTTAATTTTATCTTGAAGTATTCTACTTCGCAATATCAATGCAGGATAATCTCCATTACTCCTACAATAAAGCAGATGCCGATGCCCTACTTTATTCATCAAAGATTTTCTCGAAAATTTGGCATCGTTCTTTTATTCTGATTACATTGCAGACTTCAGATTTCCTTTGCAATCGAAAAATTACTTCCTTTGAAAATGAGATCCTGCATCACAACGAAAGCAGTTTTCCGAACGATCATTTTGTTTCTATCTCCTACTCGGACTTATTGAATTACTTAATCGCCGGAAGCAGAAATGTGAGAAATAAATTTTTCTCTCATTTCACGCTTGACTTTGTCCGTATATCCATGAATATGAGGAGCAATTAATTAAAAGATGAAATGTTATCCTTTGAGTCGCAAAATGGGGCTAAAATATTCCCCACGATGATGAATATCAGACGCACGCATTTTAAATTTTCTTCACATTTCTTCTATAGCTCATCTGCAGCATTTCGTGATTAAGCCTGATCTCAACGTCAAGATTTTAAACCTTTTATTACAACTTTCAAAATATATCAGTTTTAATTTCTGGTACACCACTCGGCAAAGTTCAGTCTGTAAATAGGCAGCAATCCTTTCATACCTTGAATCCTTGTCCTACGATCTGAACGTGAGTNAATCGAAAAATTACTTCCTTTGAAAATGAGATCCTGCATCACAACGAAAGCAGTTTTCCGAACGATCATTTTGTTTCTATCTCCTACTCGGACTTATTGAATTACTTAATCGCCGGAAGCAGAAATGGGAGAAATAAAATTTTCTTTCATTTGACGCTTGAATTTGTCCGTATTTCGATGAATATGAGGCGCAATTAATTAAAAGATAAAATGTTACTTTTTGAGTAGCAAAATGGGGCTAAAATATTCCCCACAATGAATATCAGACGCTTTTTAAATTTCTTCACATCTAAGTATTCCTTCTATGGCTCATCTGCAGCATTTCGTGATTAAGCCTGATCTCAACGTCAAGATTTTAAACCTTTTATTACAACTTTCAAAATATACCAGTTTTAATTTTTGGTGCACCACTCGGCAAAGTTCAGTCTGTAAATAGGCAGCAATCCTTTCATACCTTGAATCCTTGTCCTACGATCTGAACGTGAGTTGAGAACGTAAGATCACTTCATATCCAAGCTTGTATGCTTCATATTTTTCCAGTGAACCTTTCATCTTCTGCTGATTTTCATTCAAGTATAATGAGACAATTCTAACCGTCTAAATTTAATTCCGTTAATTGCATCCATAGACAATGAGTCCCATACCATGTGGCAACTGCCAACCCGACAGACAACGCCTTTTCTAAACGAAGTAAGTATATTTTTTCTGGAATCCACACACATTTACATTAAGAGTGAGTCTTAAACAATCTGAAATTAATAAAAACAGCTTTTCTAACAAAATAAGTCTTGAAGCTACTGCAGGTGTATCTTTCTGCGATAGTTTGGAGTCTGCGGTAAACACTCTATGACCGTGAGATTTTCGTGTCGAGTTTCTGCAACAACGACAAAAGTGCGTCTGATATTCGAGTAAATACAGTATATCATACTTCCGGAAAAGGGCCAGTGAGTATTATAGGATGTGAGTGCAAGGATATAGAACGAGCAACAGATGCTTACAAAAAACTCACCCACGATGAGCAATGCGACCAACACTGAAATGCACTTCGTCTCCATCGCAATGTGATGCACTGCCCTTACAGCCGAACACTGAGCACAGGAAGTCTGCTCTGAACCAGCAGGGATAAAACGAATACTGAAGATCGAACTTTCGGGAGGGGAATTCGCCGACTCTTCACAGCGCCTCCTACTTCGAATGCAAATCGGATGCGAACTCCTCGGACCTTGACAAGAGTGTTGGGTTTGTTCGAAAACGAGGGGGAAGTATAGGGGGGAAACGGACAGGTGCGCTATCAAACGCCCTGATCTTCCTTTTCGACGAGAAAACACTGTTAGCGATTCATGTGCACAAAGTCTTATACTTCTTGTCGCCGACGCTCGCACAATATTTTTTTCGCCTTCTTCCATTCTCTTGTTCTGTGTTATGATTCTCGAATCCCCGGGTAAACTATTACATTTGTCTCGGCCCCCGTTTTCCTAAGATTATCCTGTGATACTACTGCATCCGGAGCGTCATAACTTCCGACGGCCCAGCAAAGAGGCATGATTAGCTCATGCCTAAATGATGCGACATGAATTCTTGAAGGAGATCATTAGATTTGAAGTATATAATAAAAGGGGCATAGGAAAGCAAGGTAGAGCTATAAATGTATAAAATCGCTGTACGTTACGTTATTTAAGTGCTTAGAAGCGTATTGTGTTCACCTGTATGAGACGTTGCTATGCATATATTCGATGGATTGGATAATATTGTTGCAAATGACTCCTGTGATTGTATAATGACGAAATATTAATTGCATGGAGAATTCCACTGTAGGCAAAAACGTCGCGAAAGATGTCCACCTCATTTTCATTTTCGCAGTTCGCATCGAATAATAGATTTTAAACGGCTTTACCTTTAAAAATAACTGTAATTTTAATTGATGTAAAACACGCCGGACATCGATTTACGGCGGTTTTTTTTTTCTGTGTGGAATAGGAACGGGGAATTTTAATTTTTGCTATGTCCTCCGTATAGTCTCGAAGTCTAAAGCCGACCTTCGCTGATGGTCAAAAAAAATCCGCGAAATTGATTTCAGTGACTGTTTTCTAGAATTTGAATTCCCGTTTCCCTCTTTTCTAGAGTTTGAATTTTCGTTAATTTGAAGTTATGTCCCAATTTCAGACTAGAATCTCGCAAATGAATGGAGTAGAGTGATGGTTCAACTCGGGTTAGAGTTAGCTCATGCGTTCCCCGAAGTTCTAATTGGACGTACG